ACAGTTTATTAAGATTATATATTTTTTGTTTGGCACTAGTGTAGAATTGGGTGCCCCTTTTATTTTTAAATGAAAATAGATCGATGTGTACATGGACAATGTCAAGGCAGTGCGCAATGCCAAATTAGTGCAATTCTTTGACTTGTTATTTTGGTTTTGTGTAGCAGGCATCTTGAAATTATACCTTGCCTGCCAATCGCCAATTTTCGTCAACGGGCACTCAGTTCCGATTACGCATTATTTTGTGTGAGGTAAACGAGAGATCATGGGATATGTCATGAGATATTAATGGACGAATTACGGTTCTTTAATCGGAAAAGGGGGGAAATCGGGAAACAATCTGGAAATTTTGTATTTGGCTTTATTCTGTGTTGTGTGAAACAGTGTTCGTTAATTTTTGGATCCCATGGCCCTAACTAAAGTGAATTCGAAATGGGTATTTAGTGGGATTGAAAGGGGTAGTAATAAGTGTTTCTTTATGGTTGTGCGAGATAGAAGTAAAGATGTTTTATTAAGTTATTTATTTTACCTGGAACCTTGATGTGAACTATAATAAGTATGATTTTAAAGATCCTGAAACAGAAATAAGAAAAGTTTATCGGACACGTAATCAAGATTGTGAAGAAGGATAGGTAAGTTAGTATTTTTAATTATTTGAGGATATTAGATATTTTTATGCATTGTTCTAAATGTAAGGTGGAAGTAAAGTAATTTGCGTAAACGTGCATGGAAATAATTTAAATATTTGACACTAAGTATTTGTAACCATTTGTAATGTTTGCGGTATGAATTAGTTAGTGACGTTTGTAATATAATAGATAATGTAGAGGTAAAAGTTTTGGGATATTTTATTTATTTTATATGTGGAAATGTTCATATTTGGAAAGGGTATATACTTTTTCGCGATCAGGTAATTTCATATATGTTCTTTTTACCGGGTTTAAAGATTCAGAAAATTGTCATGTATTTTTGTGAAATTTTTCTAATTTATGAGAAAAAAGCAGTGTACATGGATATAGTGAAGAGTGTGCGCAATGCCATTTTTGTGTAATTCTGGGATGTTTTTTTAAGTAAAAATAAGTCGGCGTGTACATGGTTTATGTGTATGTGTTATTTTGAAAAACGCGTAAGGAGTATGGTATTGTGCACTTTTTCCCAATTTTGCAGTGAATATTTGTCATGATTAAGCAGTTCTGTTAGATAAAATTTCTAGCATAAGTGTAATTCGGCTAGTAGATTGTTGGAAGAAGTGTTCAGTAGATAAAAAGAAAAGAAACATGTCTTCACTGAAGACAAAATGGCGGCGAGAAAAAAAAAAAAAATAGAGGGTTGCTGTAGGAGAGTTGGTCGCCAAATTTTCGCCAAAAAAACCGCAAGTTACCATAATGTAAAGATCAACCGGCCAATCGCCAATTTTCGTCAAAGGGCACCCTGAAATATCTTTTTACCCTTTTTCACTGTCATCTTACTGCATTTAAACCAATGATCTAAAATCAGGAGATTTCTGAAACGCAGTATCATTGAAGTCCCGACGATTTCAAATCTGGGATTTTGCACTGTATCCTAAAATTACTTGAGCAATAAATCACATAACAATTAACACTTAATCCATTTTAATGAGTAGTACATTTTTATGAATATAAAGTAATCATATCTATTAATTGTAAAAGAACTGTCTCCTTGATTATGTTCTAGATATTTATCTTACCTTTTAAGGAAGTTAATATTTTAGAAAACATTACAAAATGTATATGGATTTATAATAAAACAGCACTGTTTTTAAATTTCACACGGATATAAGAGAAACTTCCCGATTCAATCCCTTTCTGCTAACATCAAAACATACATATGTGAATGTTTAGCACTTCTAAGAAAGGTATTAATCCTGTTTTTTTATGCACTATATTTGTAAATTGAAGTCAAGCAAAAGATCACAAGCAAAAAAATCTAGGAACTCATTCTTTTTTTAATGTCATTCATTCAATCAAACAGATAAGTAATGAGTCTCATTTTTCAGATTTTGTAGGAGAAATAAACCTGTACAAATATTTCAGAAATCCGATTTCAAATGTGCTCTTAAGCTCAATCCTTTTAATATACCCTATATAAAAATAATTCTGACATCCTTTTATTTTTACCACAGAATTTTTTTTTTTTTTTTCAATTTAAAAACCAATCCAGACTTACACTGTCATTCAAAAAATAATAACTTCAGATGAAACTGTGTTATATTACTAAAATAATTTTTTTTAAATTTAAAGTAGCAGTTGATCTTTACATTATGGTAACTTGGCGATTTTTTGGCGAAAATTTGGCAACCAACTCTCCTACAGCAACCCTCTATTTTTTTTTTCCCCGCCGCCATTTTATCTTCACGAAGTAAAGACATGTTTCTTTTCTTTTTATCTACTGAACACTTCTTCGAACAATCTACTAGCCGAATTACACTTATGCTAGAAATTTTATCTAACAAAACTGCTTAATCATGACAAATATTCACTGCAAAATTGGGAAAAAGTGCACAATACCATACTCCTTACGCGTTTTTCAAAAAATCAAAATAACACATACACATAAACCATGTACACGCCGACTTATTTTTACTTAAAAAAACATCCCAGAATTGCACAAAAATGGCATTGTGCACACACTCTTCACTATATCCATGTACACTGCTTTTTTCTCATAAATTAGAAAAATTTCACGAAAATACATATTTTCTATCTTTAAACCCAAACATATATGCCTGCGCGTTAATTTACTTAATAAATACATCCCCGGTTGATCTTTACAATATGGTAACTGGTAGTTTGGCGACATTTTGGAGGCGATAAAGGTTACTACCTGGGACTTTGGTAATAATGTGAGCAGTACTCAGTTCCGATTACGCATTATTTTGTGTGAGGGAAATGAGAGATCATGGGATATGTCATGTGATATTAATGGACGAATTACGGTTCTTTAATCGGAAAAGGGGGGAAAAGGGGGGAAAAAATCTGGAAATTTTGTATTTGGCTTTATTCTGTGTTGTGTGAAACAGTGTTCGTGAATTTTTGGATCCCATGGCCCGTAACTAAAGTGAATTCGAAATGGGTATTTAGTGGTATTGAAAAGGGTAGTAGTAATAAATGTTTCTTTAAGGTTTTGTGCGAGATAGTAAAGATGTTTTATTAAGTTATTTATTTTACCTGGTACCTTGCTGTGAAATATAAGTATGATTTTAAAGATCCTGAAACAGAAAAGAAGAAAAGTTTATCGGACACGTAATCAAGATTCTGAAGAAGATTAGGTAAGTTAGTATTTTTAATTATTTGAGGATATTATTTTTATGCATTGTTCTAAATGTAAGGTGGAAAAGGAATTTGGTATTATTGGGAAAATTGTTATTAGCAATGATTTAGTTTAAAGTAAATTAGGATTGTAAGGTAATTTTTATTAATTTAATGTATGTGCTCATTTATATTTTAAGTAGTGTTTTTGAATTTAATTATATTTTAATTAAATGATAGTTATTTTGTGAATTTTATGTTTGTAGGAATTTGGTATACGTTTTAGTTGAAGTAAACGTGCATGGAAATAATTTAAATATTTGATACTAAGTATTTGTAATGCTTGCGGTATGAATTCGTTGGTGACGTGTATAATGTAATAGATGATTTAGAGGTAAAAGTTTAAAAGTTTTTGGATATTTATTTTATATGTGGAAATGTTCATATTTGGAAAGGGTAAATACTTTTTCGCGATCAGGTAATTTCATATATGTTCTTTTTACCGGGTTTAAAGATTGAGAAAATTGTCATGTATTTTCGTGAAATTTTTCTAATTTATGAGAAAAAAGCAGTGTACATGGATATAGTGAAGAGTGTGCGCAATGCCATTTTTGTGCAATTCTGGGATTTTTTTTTTAAGTAAAAATAAGTCGGCGTGTACATGGTTTATGTGTATGTGTTATTTTGAAAAACGCGTAAGGAGTATGGTATTGTGCACTTTTTCCCAATTTTGCAGTGAATATTTGTCATGATTAAGCAGTTTTGTTAGATAAAATTTCTAGCATAAGTGTAATTTGGCTAGTAGATTGTTGGAAGAAGTGTTCAGTAGATAAAAAGAAAAGAAACATGTCTTTACTTCGTGAAGACAAAAAGGCGGCGGGAAAAAAAAATAGAGGGTTGCTGTAGGAGAGTTGGTCGCCAAATTTTCGCCAAAAAAACGCCAAGTTACCATAATATAAAGATCAACCAAGCCCACTTATGTAAAAAATCTGGTTTTAAAAATTTTCACACTAAAGTGTGCACACTCAATTTTCTGAAGAATTCAGCTTCTTGTTACATATAAAACTGTACATATCATGAAAAATCTTTTTGAAACATGCTCTTCAGTGCAATGTAAAACATCTCTGTCAAGTATGAAAACAATACAGGAAGAAGAGAAAACTGCAAATATATCATCATTTTCACAGTTATCTCCACGTTCGTTATTTTCTTAAGTAAATAAATATAATATGTATTTGGTATTCAAACTAATATTCTTTGTAATGAATAAAAATGCTTTCAAAACTTACACATAGAAAAATATGCAGTAAAACATAACAAAATATATGAAATTTAAATAATTCATTTTTGAAAAATTTATATTTAGCAATAAGAATCCGATACCTTTCTCCTTAGGATGAAGAAAGACATCTTGCAGAAGGAACTGAGTTGTATAAGATTATTAAAATAGTGCTCAGAATGAAACTACTAACATATATATTAATAAATTTACCGCTCATTAAGCTATACCTTTAGCTTATGTCTCCAGCGATTTCAATTGTGTAAAATCCTGAGTACTCAATTTTCTTATATCAAAAAACGAAACCTTTTCCATCATACATTTTTAATTAATATAAGTAACATGTTCCCTTAAATTTGTACCCAGAGGACTTCCCACACAAATTACTACTCCCATTTACATAAATGTACCTTCAATCAACAGCTAATAACAAAAACACATCATATACTCACAGTATTAAAGTGATCACATAGATCTTCCAGATTTTCACCAGACAGAACGAAACTCCTGCGAAAAGGAGTAGCCATATTCTCGCGCTAACTCCCTTATGTATGAGTATGACAAATAACCGATGAGTACCAATTCAACGCTTTGCGTGCGTCGCTGTTATCGATAAGGGATGAGTAAGAAATTTCGTAATAACGTCAGTGACTGGTGTCAACCAATCATTTTACTGGTATGGACTTTCAAGGAGGAACAACAACAACAAAAAAAAAAAAAAAAAAAAAAAATGAGTAGGACGTCACGTGGCGTGAACGAAAACAGTTTGCTCTTGCTACATCTATTTCAGCGGAGTTGTAGTTCTAAGAACATACGGACGGCATATTTTCTCCAGTACGAAATCTTAGAGTGGAACCAGCTCTGTCCACTGGAAATAACTGTCTCCATCAGCTGTCTAGATTTACCTTGACTTTTTTAATTTTAATTACTGCCGAAAAGCTTCAAAACAGAATCACGACAACCTGAACAAAAAGACAATTTTATCCCCTTTTGCTCATCATTATTTATTAAAATTATCTTTATACTCTGTTCTTGATAGTGATTAAAGTTATTTTGTTCGTACTCTCATTTTGCTAATTAAAATAAAATGTGAATAATTAAAATGAAATGTGAATATGTATAAAATTGCTAGAACGAGGGATGTTTACCATTTTATTCTATTTAACTCACAGCAGTTTTCTTTTTAATTACACTTCTGAGAAAGCCATTGCAAGGGGGCGAGCAAAGAATTTATAATGGCCTACAAATTCTTTGGAGGCGAGATAGGGCAGCTGCGTAGGCCTCTGAATGTAAAATTGTGTTGGGCTAGAAAATGGAAGATATTTTTAGAATACGAAAACTTACTTTTTTAGATTAATTTATTTTTCGTTTATTCGAGTTTATTAAATTTTATTTTAATCCTGACTAGGCATTCTTTACCCCTATTAAATTATTGGTGCCATTTTTAAAGCTAGAGCAAATAAAAATAATTTGAGTCACTCTTTACTTTTTCTTTGAGTAGTACAAACACCGGAGTACCTGGTCTGTGGCGACCAAGGAGGTTAGAATGAATAGTCCAAGGGGGTCCTAACTTCCTTGGTGGCAACCTACCGCCATCGAGTAAATAGCTACTTTCGAATTTCCTGCGAAGTAGCAGAGGTGCTTCTAAATGCTGAGGATTGACAAAAATTCTAAGCATAAAAATACCGCGATCAGGCAGCGGTTCTCTTGCACAGAATGAAGAAATATTTTCACTTACTCCCGCCTGAACAATTTGGATTCCACCAGCAGCTATCGACAGCCAAGCAGCTCATAATAATCACAGAATTTGCCGGGGCTGCGCTTCACTCAAAGCTTAATGTTGTGCTGCTTATGCTTGATGTGGCCAAAGCTTTTGACCGCGTCTGGCATGAGGGGCTCATCTGTAAACTGATTGACCTGTAATTCGACCGAGAACTTATTCTACTTCTGCACTCCTTTCTATTGGATCGAACTTTTCATGTTGCAATTGGAAAAGCCACTTCAGGTGAATTTCCCATTTCCGCCAGTGTCCCTCAAGGTTCAACGGTTAGGCCAATTTTGTATTTATATTATGTGGCAGACTTCCCCAAGCCTCAAAACAGTGCATACATGCTAGCGTGTTATCCTGATAACACAGCTTTAGCTGTCAAATCAGCTAACATTAATCCTGCAATTCGGAAACTGCAAGAACAGATTCCTTTGACCGAAATTTGGTGCCGCTGCTTGAAGGTAGCCATTAATCGACAAAAATCTCAGCTCCTGATTATCAGAAGGAAAAAACGAAATGCTGCTCTGAAAAACAACCTGTTCTTCTTCGAAGAGCAGGTAGCTATTGTGAAATAGGCAAAATATCTCGGAGTTCTACTCAATGAACATCACACATGAAGTGATTAGTTACGTCTGCGAACTACCTACACCCGGTCATAGACATTCGAGATTAAGGCTAAAGAAATTTTTATACGTTTACCACCGACATATCCTCTCTCTGCCGTTAACTTCATTTTGTAGTTTAATTAATCACTCTCAAATGGTTGTAAAAGACAAAAATTTATTTAAAGTAAATTTAATAAACTACACGTACGTATTCGTAAGTACAAAATAACAAATGTACTTACTGCATCGTACCATTAAACATTTCAAGCGTACTTCATCTCGATGTATATTTTTAAAATTATAAATAGAACGACATCCAGAAATTAGCTAACATCGGAAGATGTTCTAAAGATCTGATAATAAAATTTGTACTCACAATTTTTATTAAGCAGGAGGAGTTATATATTTGTGTTCCAAAAGTCTAAATAAAATTAATTAATATTATCAAGTATGGCTTTTTATTGATAAGAACCGAATTTTCACTTCATTGAAAAAAGTGCAGGAAGATGAAATTTCATCTCAGCATGAAGACATATGTGCAAGTCACGTATGGTCAGGCTCCTGGGAGTTATCCTCATCCTGAGTTTAATCGCGTAGGAACATCGCATAATTTTTTTTCCACATAACGTAAGTAACACACAGAGCTGAGGGTAAAATCTCATTTCATCCGATGAGTAAGTCTTCGCATATACCTTTGGAGTTACTCCGAAAACAAAGTCCGTCTTGCAAAGGAGTCGATAGTATGGTAAAGATTTTGTGTGCCAGTACACATCATGGTCTCAGAAGTCTAGAAGCAAGAGTAACAGATGGGAAAAACGTCCGAAACAGACCGTAGGGTGGAACTAACTGGTTTTACGTGCACTATCCAATAAGCGACCTGGAAAGTAAGCACAATTCCTAGCAAATCAGGCATTGTGGGGGGCGGGGCCTAGTAAGACTGCATAACTTAACTGATATTACTGAACAGAATAAGATAAAATTAAGTTAAAAATTTAGTTTTCCACGTAAAATAGATCAAGGACTAAGATAAATTAGGGCCTAAAACAACTATTGAAAATTAAGGAAGCTAGAAAATACTTTGTTTAAATTTTTACATGAGAGAATATGAACAAGTTACCTGTTTAAATGGAGCAACACTGCACCTTGTCTTGTTCTGTTTCAGAATCCGTATTGTAATTCATGACCGAATTGATACATATTTCTCTCAATGTTCTGAAAAAACGTTTTTGCCAATACAATATTTTATTAACACTTAATTTCATGTATTGCTCATTTCTAATAACCTAAAATTTGCCATTGCCTAAGGACATTTTGTGCTTGCTGTATTTTTAACATTCGAGTATCACAAATATAGCCCCAGACAAGAGGCGTATTTTTACTTCCTCCCTAAGAAACGCAACCCGCGACTAAATTTGGCGATTTACGAGGTCTTGGTGAAATTGTGTGGCTAGCGCATGCGCAGAGATGGACGAACTATCGTGATGATATGTCGTATTTAGCAGGACTGAAGAGAAAGGCTAGCTCATAGAGGGTCTCCCCCTGAAACAGGCAGTGAGGAATGATGACGTAGCAATGATGCAACTGAGCGGAGATGCAATTGACAACATAGAAATTAGCGTTTTAAATTTGAAGAATGAGCGTTTTAAAATGAGCTGTGTGTGAAAGATAGCTATAATTTGGAGACACTGTTATTGCAGTATGCATTTTACACTGAAACATTACAAATTTAATAGTACTTACTCAATTTTAAATAATAGATAAAATGCGCTACTCTTAGCATAAAGTTCCTTTTTTTATTTGCAGGGATTTTTTTTTCTAAATGCCTGTTTTTCTAATCATTTATTTACCGCATGTAACTAAGAGAACTGTACTACTGCTGAAATAACTATAATAACAGTATTTAAATTAGCAAAAAAAACCTTAATTGGCATAGTTTTAACGGTATGGTATATATGGCAAAATTTCTGAAATCTAGTTTGATTTCAGCCTAATTGAATTTTACATTAGCATATTTTTCTCCGATTCATTATAATAACATATTTTTTTTTTAAATAATTTTGTAACTTAGGCTTACATCAATATTTCATTTAAATAAATAGGTAAGATTGTTATTTAGGACAAAACAACTTTACTCACAGTACCTAAATAATTATTTATTTTTCAAAAGTGGGGTTGGGGCAGGTCTTCTTATGCCAATTATAATATTATACTTTATATATATTTTATCTAGATGCGAAGCTAGCACAAATTGAATCAATAATAACAGAGGAACAATAAAAATAACTGTAACAATTAACAGAATAGTTCTCATTGAAATATGCTTTACGCTATTAATTTAAAATGCAATTAGAAATATTTCAAATCAAAACATATATAATATACTTACTTTTGTCTCTCGTTTCCCTTGACCATTAAATAATTTGGTTTATTTGTGACACACAATTATAATTCTCTTTTAATATAAACATTTAAAACAGTTCCATCTTCTAAAACAAATCCTTATCTAAAAAGGGTTCTCAGTAATTTGAGCCACCGAGGCCGAGCGGTAAAGTCGCTGAACACTGGTAGTTCGGTCCGAGGTTCGAATCCGCGGAACGGGCTGGCTTGGGCGTTTCGTGGTTTTCCCCATGTGTAACGGTATACGAGCCAGTTTCCCTTAGAAATCCCACGAGGCATCCTCCCCTTAGGCAGATAGCTAGTGTGCTTTGTATAATTAAATAACACCAAACGCAGTAATTTGAGCAGTGCGCTAAATCTGAAAAAACCATATTTTTCGTTGGAATACTGGATTTGGAAAATGAGAACTATTAATCGAAATCTGAACTCTTTCCACAAAGTAGTAGATCCTCCTAAATCAGACACTATTGCTTTCACTTACTCTAGATCATTGATATGTTTATGAGTGAAAAAAGAAGTTTTCTTCATTGGAGTGTTAAAATAAAAAATATTGGTTGTTCCCACGCGAATGAGACTCTGATTTAAAACAAACTGCACTTTTGAAAAGGACGATTTTGGTCCAGTTTAGTCATAGCAGAGTTTAGAATCTATGGGCATTTAGTCGAAAACTGAGAACGCATATTTTTTATACAGAATTCAAATATTGGCATCTTTCCTTCATTACAGCAAGAACATCACTCTGAATCTGGGCTACATGAAAATTTAGGTACCACCTCTTTAAAGGCTAGTGCTAGGTAAAGGAATTCCCTTTTTTTTCCAAAAATCGTAGCTTTTAGATGACAGAGCTTATGACAATGCAACGTGAAATTATTCTTAGTCCACGG